TGTCTTTTCTATTCTAAAAGGTTTTGGAGGTTTGGGAATAGAGAGGGAGATGCCCTTACAAATGGAGATTTTTTTTTTTTTTTTTTGAGATGGAGGCTCACTGTGTCGCCCAGACTGGAGTGCAGTGTTGTGATCTTGGCTCACTGCAACCTCCACCTCCTGGGTTCAAGCAATTTTCCTGCCTCAGCCTCCTAAGTAGCTGGGATTACAGGCACCTGCCACCGTGCCCAGCTAATTTTTGTAGTTTTAGTAGAGACAGTGGTTTCACTATGTTGGTCAGGCTGATCTTAAACTCCTAACCTCGTGATCCGCCCACCTTGGCCTTCCAAAGTGTTGGGATTACAGGTGTGAGCCACTGCACCTGGCCTTTGTTTTTTGTTTTTTTTTTTTTTTTTTTTAAAGAAAGCTGTATTTTGGGCTTTTTAACTAGCTTTTTAAAATTAGATTATTGGCTTTGGGGTGGAGCACTTTAATAAATAGGAGGAAGAAAATGTAGTTTTGAGGGCCTCATTTTAAATGTGTAAAGCAGGCATAGCTGGAAGGTAGAATACAGATCATCCCCATCAAGGATCTCATTTTCATATTGAATCCTGGTTCCCCAAAAGAGGAACAAAATGTGTGGCATTTTTTATTGAGTGCCCCACTGCAAAGATGCTCCCCCGAGGCTGGCGGGCAGCCCAGTGGTGATTAGCTCACTCCGTGCTTGGCCTATTTATAATGGGAGTTTCATCTCTCTGTGGGGACGGCTTTTATTGTCTTTACATGCCCCAAACCATGTTTTTAAAATTTTAAATGCACAAAGAAGTAGCCCTGTATAGTAGTAATAATTTGTTGTGAACAACTGTCATAAGTCATCTCTAAAACTGTATTTTTATCTAGTTATATATGACTAGCTATTTGTATAGTTTTTTAAATAATACAAATTTTTGGTATCCTCAAAAACGAAAGAGATTAGGTAATCTAGTGTAGAAGAGAGCAGAGCTTTAGACCTGAGAAGAATCTGCCCATGACTCTTGAAACTCCAAAAGGAAAGTAGGAGACCCCAAACAAAGGGAGAGTGACATCTTTTCTGAGGTGTTTTTTTGTTTTTGGCAGTCTCAACTCTGTTGCTCAGGCTGGAGTGCAGTGGTGTGATCTCGGCTCACTGCAACCTCCACCTCCTGGGTTCAAGATATTCTCGTGGCTCAGCATCTCGAGTAGCTGGGATTACTGGCATGTGCCACCACACCCAGCTAATTTTTGTATTTTTAGTAGAGGCACGGTGTCACCATGCTGGCCAGGCTGGTCTCTAACTCCCAACCTCAGGTGATCCGCTCGCCTTGACCTCCCAAAGTGCTTGGATTACAGGCATGAGCCACTGTGCCTGGCCTTTTCTGAGTTTTTTAAGAAGTCTGAGTCATTAGAGGTCTTTTCTAGATTTTTAAAAAATGTGGTATAGAAGATGGCAAAGAGGAAGGAGGAATAGGGTAGAATAAAAGTCAATGGGAGAATAATTTTTAAGAAAGGAAGTGCATAGAGATATCAAACATATTTAAAAAAAAGATTTTAGTCTACTGAAAAAATTTTTTTAAAATAGGATTTAAAGAGAAAACACAGAAAGCTTTAAAAATAGACACATAGCTTGAATATTAGCTTTTAATTAAGCTGACTTCTAACCATGGAGCTCTTTAACAAAAATTCTTTTAAATCTCTCTCCCTCCCCTTTAAAACTTTTTATGGAGATTGGGGTTTCACCATGTTACCCAGGTTGGTCTCAAGCCTGGGCAACTTGGGGGCTAACGCAATTTGCCTGCTTTGGCCTCCCAAAGTGATAGGATTACAGATGTGAGCCACTGTGCCCGGCCTTAAATCTCGTTACCAGATTTTAGTTGGGCCAAATAGCAGATATTTTAAAAATCACATAAATATTAAGTTGAAAAGGACTGGTTTCTGATTAGGAAGGAGACCCTAAGCCACGGTGGGAATTTTAACTATTAAACTGTAACATGGAGCAGCCTCTGTTGTTAATTTTGTATGGAATCCAAAGTGGGCAGTTAGCATATAATTGTTTTAGGTCTGAGTTTTGTACTTTAATTTAATCGAGAATTTTTAAGGATAGCTATGACACTATTATGTATCCATTTAATTTGATCTTTCTATCAATTGTTAAGAATAAGTGTTTTTTAAAAATTTACAAATTTTAGTCTAAAGGATTTATCTTTTGGCCATTGACAATAGAATTTTTAATGGGGTATTTAATTCTGATAGTGACTTAATCAAAAGGCTTCTTTATGTCAAAGAAGACAGAAGCCTAGTAGGGATGAGACCTTGTAAGACGACACTCCCCTAAGAGCTCAGAATGTTTGAAAAGATGTCTTGGAGCCAGGCGCGGTGGCTCACACCTGTAATCCCAGCACTTTGGGAGGCTGAGGTGGGCAGATGACCTGAGGTCAGGAGTTTGAGACCAGCCTGACCAATACGGTGAAACCCCTTCTTAATAAATAAATAAAAGACGTCTTGGGTTCCCAATCTTTTCATACAGGCTGTGATGGTATCCGAAAAATCACATCCTTTGGATGGTGGAGACCAAGCAGGAATAGCCCCATCTAGTCGTCATGCTCTCGAGGACATAAAACAAGACAAGAGGGAAACCTCACCCTGTTTTTATTTCAGGGACCGGCAGCAAAGTTTGTTGTAACAGAAGTCAGTCTAACCAGAACCACAAAACTGACAGGTTTGCAGGGCCTACTCAAAGAGTGGGTTGCAGGCCTGTTCTCCCCTAGGGTACCCCTCCTTATGACAGAACACCAAAAGGCAAAGACAAAGGAAAACTGTGACAACAAAAAGGCTATTTCTGAAACGAACGGGGTCAAACAGCATGAATATTCATAGCAAAAAATACCAAAAAATATATCAGCGTCACTATACCAAGGTTAGTCACACAAAAAATCTGTTCTCTCGTTAATCTTACATTTGGAAAGGACAAGGGAAACAATGATTTCTACTGTCCACTCATCCAGAGTCCACAGAAAGAGAGAGGAAAACTGGGAGTCTGGCAGGAAATTCTTACTCTTCTGCTGGCCTGTCAAATTCCTGTATTTCCTTCTCTGCGGCTTCCAGAAAAGCACAGTAACTTTGGTGATCTTATTTGTGATGCCAAACTGTGGTCTTGGCCCCCTAAAGTTTCAGTAAAAATCACTGACATGAAGCAGATTAATAGGGGAAAAGGTATACAGATTTATTTAATATGAATGAGAGCCTTTAGAATGAAGCTCTGAAGATATAGGGAAAATTGTCTCTTTTTGTGTTTATGTTTTACAAAGTATGGACAGCTGTGTAGAAATATGACCGGACAGAAAGGGCAAGATCTAATGTTAACAGAGTGAATGGGGAAACCCAGCAAGGCCTGTCTGTTGAGTGAGATTCCTCCTGGCCTCTCTCATTCCTTCCTTCTGGGTGTAGGGCAGGACCCTCTCTGGAACTGAGGTCTTTTTTTTCTTATTTTTTTATTGCATTTTAGGTTTTGGGGTACATGTGCAAAGCATGCAATACAGTTGCATAGGTACACACATGGCAGTGTGTTCTGTTTGCTTTCACCCCTTCACCCACATTTGGTGTTTCTCCCCAGGCTATCCCTCCCCACCTCCCCCTCCCACTGGCCCTCCCCTTTCCCCCATAATAGACCCCAGTGTTTAGTACTCCCCTCTCTGTGACCATGTGTTCTCATTTTTCATCACCCGCCTATGAGTGAGAATATGCGGTGTTTCATTTTCTGTTCTTGTGTCAGTTTGCTGAGAATGATGTTCTCCAGATTCATCCATGTCCCTACAAACGACACGAACTCATCATTTCTGATTGCTGCATAATATTCCATGGTGTAGATGTGCCACATTTTCCCAATCCAGTCTATCATCAATGGGCATTTGGGTTGATTCCAGGTCTTTGCTATTGTAAACAGTGCTGCAATAAACATTCGTGTCCATGTGTCCTTATAGTAGAATGATTTATAGTCCTTTGGGTGATGATCATGGATGATGGATGAATATAGATCATGGATGAATCTGGAGAACAATCCCAGTAATGGGATTGCTGGGTCAAATGGAATTTCTATTTCTAAGGCCTTGAGGAATCGCCACACTGTCTTCCACAGTGGTTGAACTAATTTACACTCCCACCAACAGTATAAAAGTGTTCCTTTTTCTCCACATCCTCTCCAGCATCTGTTGTCTCCAGATTTTTTAATGATCGCCATTCTAACTGGCGTGAGATGGTATCTCAATGTGGTTTTGATTTGCATCTCTCTGATGACCAGTGACGATGAGCATTTTTTCATATGATTGTTGGCCTCATATATGTCTTCTTTCGTAAAGTGTCTGTTCATATCCTTTGCCCACTTTTGAATGGGCTTGTTTGTTTTTTTCCTGTAAATCTGTTTGAGTTCTTTGTAAATTCTGGATATCAGCCCTTTGTCAGATGGGTAAACTGCAAAAATTTTTTCCCATTCTGTTGGTTGCCGATTCACTCTAGTGACTGTTTCTTTTGCCGTGCAGAAGCTGTGGAGTTTGATTAAGTCCCATTTGTCTATTTTGGCTTTTGTTGCCAATGCTTTTGGTGTTTTGTTGATGAAGTCCTTGCCTACTCCTATGTCCTGGATAGTTTTGCCTAGATTTCCTTCTAGGGTTTTTATCGTGCCAGGTCTTATGTTTAAGTCTTTAATCCATCTGGGGTTAATTTTAGTGTAAGGTGTCAGGAAGAACTGAGGTCTTATGACTTAAGTCAAATAATATAGGTCAGATTTTTTTTTTTTTTTTTTTTTTTTTGAGACAGAGTCTCACTATGTCACCCTGGCTGGAGTGCAGTGGTGAGATCTCTGCTCACTGCAACCTCTGCCTTCCGAGTTCAAGCAATTCTCCTGCCTCAGCCTCCCGAGTAGCTGGGACTACAGGCATGTGCCACCACGCTCAGCTAATTTTTGTATTTTTAGTGGAGACAGGATTTCATCGTGTTAGCCAGGATGGTCTCAATCTCCTGACCTTGTGATCCTCCTGCCTCAGCTTCCCAAAGTGTTGAGATTACAGTTGTGAGCCACCACACCCAGGCCTGTCAGATAATTTCTTATGGCCAGTTTTTACATAGAGTAATTTTAGGTTTTATGGCTGGCTTTGGGGAAAAGGGGTTCTGGTTTTTATAGCTGGCGTTTGAAAAGAATGGAACTGAGTGACAAGAAGACAGGAGAGGGTCAGAGAAACACTACTTCTGAGGCTGCTGTTGAGGGCTTCATTTTGGGGTATTGTCCTCTAAGCCCCAACAGTGTCAAAGTGTACACAAACCATACACAGCGTTGTTAGGAAATGGGCTCCTGGCTGGCTCTGTGGAGTATGTGTGTGTCTGGGTGTGTGGCTGCTGTCTGCATCCTTCTCCCCCTACCAGCCTCCCCACCTCCTCTCCAGCCACCCAGGGATTGGTGACTCTCAGCCCCTCCCCTCAGCTCCCCTAGACCCTCCCAGAGCGTTTATCAGGGAGCTGGGACTGAGTGACTGCCGCCTTCCCAGATCCCCTCCACTCGGTTTGTCTCTGCAGCAGCACAGGCAGCACCAGTGTGTGAGGGGAGCAGGCAGAGCTCCCAGCCAGCTCCCTGATCCTGCCAGATCATCCAGCCCCAGGCACAGAGCTGGTCCACAGGTAGGTAAGTGGGAGAATGCTGGATGGACTGGAGTTGGCACCAGGGAACAGGAGCCAGCGTCAGGAGGGAATAAAGGAAATGGCAGCCTTTGATAGGGGAGCAGGGGACTGGGAAGGTGAGCCGAAAGTACCTGTAGGGCCGAGAGCTGGTTAGTGTTTCGTGCCTGTGGCTACAGACTAACTCTTTCATGCCAGAAAGTTTTTGCCTAAGTCTTGGGGTTATCTAGTACTGGAGAATAGCATCCAGGATTCCTCCTCCAGCTGACTAGGGAAACAGACCACCAGCCCATGTCCTATAAATCTATCATCTTCCTTGGGAGCTAGAGTCCCCCTGGCATCACTATACCATTGCTCATCTCCTGTGGAGATGTCTGATGTGGGAGGAGGGAAACTAAGCCCAAGGGCTGTAACCCCTTCTCAGAGATACTTTCCATCCTCTCTCCAGACCAGGGCTTGGACAACGGAGCTGGGGGCTGGGGAAGCAGGGTCAAACCAAGCTGCTGGTAATGAATGTCTCTTGTGTCTTCACCCAGGCTATATCCTCCTCTTCTCCCCCTTACCTGAGTCCTGTCCCTTTGCTCTCCCAGGCACCATGAGGATCACGCTGCTATTCACAGCCATCCTGGCCTTCAGCCTAGCTCAGAGCTTTGGGGCCATCTGTAATGAGTCACAGAAGGAGGTGGCTTCTCGAGGGGGTCACAACAAGGTAAGTGCCCCCCGGCAGAGTACTGGGGACATCACAGGAACCTGGGACTCTGTCCGGACAGCTGTAGTGAGGAAGCTGGGGTGGGTGGGTTATCCATCAGAGGGCATTTTGCCTCCCTTTGGATTTCTTTGCTTTTCTGGTCCTCTCATGTTCCCACTGTTTCCAGGTGTGTTTGTGTCTCTGTATCTCTTCATGTCTTTGACACCTTGTACATAAAAGGTGCCCTACAAATATGTTGTTTGGTGGGTTGATTGATGGGAGACTTGGTGATTGGCTGGGACTATGAGGGGTGAGCTAGGGTGGTCTAAGGCTCTCTGTGGTCTACCTCAGGTTCCTTTGCAGGGGACAGATCCCTTTTATTTTGTGGATGGTATGAAACAGTCAGAATTTCTTTCCCAAGTGGTCATTTGTGTGCTATTTTACCTATCGGTTATGTGTATTGTTTTATTTTCAAAATGCAAATAAACCCCCTTATCTTTTGCTCATCTACCCCCAGTAACCTCAGGTGCTTCTAAGATCCCAACTCCTTCCTTCTTCTCTCCTCTCCCTTGCCCACCTCTATCCTCTGCTTAGTCAGGATAGGAAAACAACAACAGCAAAAAAAACAGGTTGACCCTCAATGTCCACAGTTCCTCTATGAAAAAGAATAGGAATTGTCAGGGTAGGGTGTATGGGGGAGGATAGGGAGGAAGCCTTTTCAAGGTTTTGAAATGACAGCAATTACATCGGTATAAATGCTTTTAAGATGATCACAGGTGGGACTTATTACAAATTCAATGTGTGAAGTTTAACTGCCTCCTTTTCAGCTCAAATCTGTTTAGCATCTCATTACAGGAGGTAGGCAGAGTATTCAACAATTTGGGAAAGTGGCTGCCTGATAGCCACATGCTGGGCCAAGGGAGATATTGCCAGGGCAGCCTTGCAGGTGGCAAGAGTTGTGCCATATCCAAAAGACCAGAACCACTCAGAAAACACCCAGGGAGTACCACGTATGGGCTGGACACCATTTGGAGCCACAAAATTCCAGCCCAGGATAGAGTATCTGAGTTCTTCTGAGCTTGCTGTAGGACCTTAGCCAATGAGATGTCCCCTCTGCCCCTCTTGGTCAATGAAAGAGAAGGATTTCCATCCCACCCCTTCTCCCTGAGAGTCTGTGAGAATGAGGGAAATTGGGGCAGGATGAGGGTAGTATGCATGTGTGCCTAGGCAACTGGGTTGGTATGTGTGGGGGGCGTGTTCTGTGTAAATGCACTTGCGTGTGTGCACCTCAGCCCAAGGATGCCTGGGTTCTGGAAAGAGAGGCACTGCCAAGACTTGAGATTTGAGGTGAGACTCTCCAGCCATGATCATTATTATTGTCTCTCTGTAGTTGCAATTAACTGGCTGTGTGGTATGTGCCCACCACCCTGCTGTGCCCAAGTTGCTAACAAAAAAATCACAGGGACAATCAAGAGCCCTGCTGGGCAACAGCTCTAGAATTTGGGGTTCAGTTGTGGGAAGAAGAAGGGGTGCCTTCTGAGCACATTGCCTTCCTGGAATTCTAGACCCAGGGCTGAAAAAGGAGAGGGAAGAAAGCTAGAGGCAGAAAGCCATGGAGAATAAAGAGACAGTGGGAAACAGGGAGAGAAACATCCGTGGACATTGTGCAGAGTGGGGGAATCACAGGTGCAAATGTGTACCTCAAACCTCACCATGCATGTGAATCACCTGGGGGGCTGCTTAAAATGCAGATTCTGTCTCAGGAGTTCTGGGGCAGGACCAAGAGCCTGCATTTCTAACAGGCTCCATGCAGGGCTGGTGTTGCTGTTGGTCCACAGGTCACTCCTGGAGCGCCTACTTCTCGTCCAGTGTGAAGCAGAGGAAATTCTGAAAGAAATAGGGTGTCGAATTCTGGATGGGTTCAGGAAGAGGCAGTTTCTTGTGGGAAAAGGATGAGTGAATCCAGGTGGGAGCCTCCTGCCTTAGCCCTCTTTGTCTTTTCTGTAGAAGAACATGAATCTCTACCAGCTGGTCCAGAGACTCTACGAAATCCACTCCTTCTCTCTGGAGGAACTGCTTGTAGCCCTGAGCCAGGCTATCTTGGGTAGGAGGCTGCCTTCGGGAGAGAGGGGAGTGAGGGGCAGGATTCTGAGGTTGAAAGGCCTGGTAGACCCTTTCAGCTGGGAGGGAGATGGGGGATAGTCTAGTGAATCAGTGACGGTGTGATCCGAACCCCCCTCTCCTCACTTTCCAACTTCACTCCCCATTTAGACACTTGTTCTTGGTTTCACAGATTCCAGGGGATCAGAAACAGCACTTCCCCGGAAACGTGAGTAGCCTCTTCCCTCTCCCTATCTTTGATGACCACTTGCCTGAGACAAACTTGCTGTAGGACCTCGGCATCGGGCTGAGGGGCCATTTTGTCCAGTTCCTTCTCACCTGATACAAACAATATCCCAGCTGCCACTGCTCAGCCAACCTTTCCTGAAAAGGAGAGGCTATCAGGAACTAGGAGGAAGCCAGTGTGAGGGGCATGGTGGACTCTCCCTCTGCTGGTCATTGGGAAACAAGAGGATCTCTTGGTGGCCCTGAAGATTCCAAGCCAAGCACCTGCTAGAGCAGAAAATTCTTGAAATGTGGAGGAGGGAAAGGTGGGCAGAGAGAGTGGTTAGGGGAGGCACTTGCTAATGTGAGGAGTCATGCTTTGACAAGAAAAAGGAACAGAGACCAGAAGTCTGGAAGTGCTGACCCATGTCTGGGGAAGTAAATGCAACACTTTCTCATCATCACTGCTGACAATGTTGGCCCTTTTCTACAGGTAACATGCAGGACTTGTTTGTGGGACTTATGGGCAAGAGGAACGTCCAGCCAGGTAGGAGTGTGTGGGGGCACATTGGAAGGGTTTAGGGTATGAGCAGAGTATATGATAGAAGTCACATGCCTCATATTTGTCACCAGAGGGAAAGACAGGACCTTTCTTAGCTTCAGTGAGGGTTCCTCAGCCCCTTCATCCCAATCAGCTTGGATTCACAGGCAAGACTTCCCTGGGAGAAGAGGAGGGAGTACCTTTATAAGGTAGTCTTGCTGCAGCTGGGAAGGACAGGGAGACTCTGCTTCCCCCCAGTCTTCCAACTCTGTCTTTGAATGCTGCCCTTCATAGCCAGCCCTTTGCCGTTGGGTTAGGCTGACGATGAGAAAGATGCCTCTTACTTACAGTGTTCACTTTACCCTAGACTCTCCTACTGATGGGAATCAAGAGAGTATCCCTAGCTTCGGTACCCTCAAGTATCCCCCCAGTGCAAAATGAGGTAAGGACTGTTTGTTAGAGAGGGGAGAGGGGACTGGGGAGGGAGGTGTGGGGGTTGCCAGCTGTGCATTTCCTCCCCTGCTACAGGCATTAAAGCTCATAGATTTGCCCTGAAATACACTGCCAGTGCCCAGCACACTGTCAGTCAAACGCAGACACATGTGCGTGCATGCACATCTCCCCATCTTTCCTCTCTTTCGCCCTGGATCATGGACTTCAGCTTTGAGCAGGAGTGAGGGTTGGGAGATGAAGAGAGAGGAGCTTCCTAGATGGCAACTTCTGTTTGGACTTCATTCTTTTGTGATCTGTGCAAAAAAGATGGAGAGATTATTATCTGATAATTACAAATACCACAACCAATTCACAGGCAAGCATTGCTTCCCAGACAGGCTGAGCCTTTTAGATCACTCAGAATCCTGGGTTACCAGGTCCAGAGGGTAGTCATACACAAGGATGACTCAGGAAGAAATTCAAGGAACTCTGAAATCTAATAGGGAGTAGCTGGAAATCATATCTTAATCTCTCTCTCTTTTTGACATAATGAATAAGAACATGGCCTGCATGTGAATCCTGGATCTGTCACTCTTTATCTGTTTCCCTTTGGCCAAGTTACATAACCCTTCTGTGCCTCAGTTTTCTCATCTGAAAAATGAAAGTGATCATAGTATCTCGCAAGGTTGTGGTTTTGAGGATTGAGTATAGGTAAAGTGTTCAGAACAGTGCCTGGTGCACAGTGCTGCGTGCCAATTTTCTGATGATTGTCCCAGTTTGGGAGGTGTGGGGGATGTCCTAATGTTTCCCCTGACTGGTTCTGTCTGGACCCCAGGCCTGAGTGGGCTGACAGATTCCTCACTTGGTATGCAAGTGTGAGAGTCCCCTGGGGAAGTGTCTAGTCAAAACATGAACCTTCCGCCTTGACACCGTCTTCCCACACACAGCAATAACAGCTCCACCAATGAATGGCTTTCTTTTCACTAGCTTCTAAAGAAGTGGGGCGGGGGAAGCGAAAAGAAGAGGGAGAGGGATTGGGAAGCCTCATAATCATGGAGAGCCTCCTGCCTTTCTCCCTGTGTCCCCATTACACATACTCATTGGTCTCAAGGTGGCACGCCTGAGACCCAAGGAGTTGGCACTTGATGATGCTGCCTATTCATGACTTCCTGGGACCAGAGACTGGGTCTGGCCCCCCATTTAGTGTTGGGTGAGAGGGCACAAAGAGCTATAATAACTGTAACTCGCTGATTACATGGTACTTACCGTATCATTTTGCTCTCATTAGATGGTTATTTCAGTCCTACCCACGGCCAGATAATTACATGAGCAGCTATATCTGGATGACATACTCTCCTCCAGCGTTATGCACTGGCCGTAAAGATAATTACAGTGCAATTTTGCCATAGTATTTCATATAAATGGCAAAAACAGGTGCATTGTGGAAATCTACTTTCAGTGCTCGCTTGTGAATCCAGGCTCTTTCAGAGGGACCCATAATTGCAGCCTTCATAATCTTACCACTGAGGGAGCATTCTCAACCTGTTAGGTGGCAGGCAGAATAGGACATAAGGTTTCTGGGAGCTGGCATTTAAAGATGAGATGAGATGGATCAACACAGATCATTGTGTCATCTGATTTCATTCATGTGAAACTGCTGAAAAAGGAAGTCTTCCTGGGCCTGTCCTTCCTCTGGGAGGTTTCTAGGAAGAGGAGGGGAGCATTCATAATAGGGCACCTTGGATGGGACTGTGTGTCTGTTTGGCTCATGGGGGTGCTAGGATGGCATGAACTTGGTTCTACATTTTTGGTTCACATGGGCCCCACTGGCCATGCACACAGGTGTGTATAGTAATGTAAATATGGCAGCTGGGAAGGTGCAAGCACCTGCTGCTAGAAGAGTTCCATCCTCAGGCCCAAAGGCTGGAGGGGAGGCTGAGGGTCAAGACTCTTGTTCTTTTGTCTCTCCCAGATGCCCCTTCCCTTCTCTCCTGCTGCCCTAGCAGGTGTTCAGTGGAAGTTTTTTATAGGACATAAGAGATGATTTTGGTTTTTTTTTTTTTTTTTTTTTTTGGTCCTCAGCACTCCGCTTTTGGACCCTTGGACTACATCAGGAAGACCTGTCTCTCTGCCCCAATCCCCAGGTGCACATGCTCCTATTGCCCTTTTTCTTCCCCATTCTTGTAGCATTCTTGTGATTTGACTCCTTCCCCATCTTTTCCACCTGATCCTGGCGTGGAAACTACATAGTGAATATCCCCAATCCTAATGGACATTGACTGTAGAGCCCCTTAGAGTCCTGAAGTGAAGAATATAACGTCTCTCTACTCCTCAACAATAAAGGATTTTTGCATATGAATGATGTGATATGTGTGTTTACTTGTTTGGTTAGTGGGTTTTCTGTTCCTTGACTTCCAGCTACACGGTAAATGCACACATACATATTATAACACACCTTCATATTTAAATGTAAACATCTTCACATATCTTTCTATAAACATCTATTTCCTGAACAGTGCCTTACACAGTGCTTTGCATGATGAGTATCAGATTTATTTAGTGATTAAAATAATAAATATGTGAATTTGGAAGATGGTTTCTTTTCTTTTTTTCTAAGACGGGATTTCACCATATTGGCCAAGACGGTCTCGATCTCCTGACCTCGTGATCCGTCCACCTCGGCCTCCCAAAGTGCTGGGATTACAGGCATGAGCCACCATGCCTGGCTCGGAAGATGGTTTCTAACACAAAGATATTCGCAGACCAGTTTTAGATAAAGACAAAACATTCAGAATGACTTGAATTACTAGGATGGGCCTGGGAGGCGTGCATTCCTGAATCTGACTGGACTTAATTAGAGGCGGGGGAGATAAAGGCTGTTCAGAGACCTAGCCACAGAGGAGGAATCTATAACACTATACCATTTTTCTGTCTCCAAATGCCAAGTCTGGGTTCTGTGACAGATCCTGCGGATGAAATGATGACTCATACACAGAGTTTACAGTCTAGCAGGGCTGTGGATGAGCAAACAGAACTTGATCCAGCTAGGATGGGGTGTGGACAGGGAAGTTACTAATGAGACCAAGAAAGAGAGGAGCAGATACCTTCAGCATTAACTGTCTGCCTTAGTTATCATAAAGGGGAAAACATTTATCTCTGACTCTTCTCTAACGTGCCTGTTACCAGCCCCTGCAGCTCTGACCTGACAGTCCCCAGAATGTGTAAGGCACTTACATGTGGTATGCATGGGTATGGGTGTCATTTATTAAGCTGAGATCTACTATCAGCCTATCATCACAAAGAAGGTTCTGTACCCTAATGGAACAGCCCGTGAAATCCTCAGGCTCCTTATTTTTCGCCTGGTACAAAGGCCTTGGTTATGCCCCTGAATTGCACTGATACAACATCCACACGTGGATTTCTCTAGGCAGTGTAAGGACAGGGCCACAGAGCCAAAGGCCACTTCCTATAGTCCTTTCATTCCAGTGAAAGTTCTATCTTCCCAGAGCCTGACTTGGGGCCACTTTGGAATGACAGCTGTACAGTGGGGGGTGGAGAAAGGAGGGAATACTCACCCCAGCATTACTTATGTCAGCTTTATAGCCAGAGGTCAAAGAATGCCTCCACACCAGAACATGTGAAGTTTATTGGGGTCAATACTTTCTCCAGTGAGTCATCAATTTGACTTTTCAAAATTATCTATCTGTAGGGCTTAACATTGAGGACACTTTTGCAGAGTCTAGGGGCTTTCTTCGGATCCTGAAAGGTGCAAGAGTTGGTTCTGCTCAGACTTGGTGGGAGTTAGGCACGTAGGCTGATGAGACTATTGCTTTGCAAGCAGGAACAAAAATGTAGAAAGATTGCTCTCTAGTGGGACTGACAAAAATTGCAGTACTGGGAACTCCAGAAAAAAAACGAAGACAAATGTTAAGTTATATTCCTGTTTTTCTACTTGAAGAATGTGTGAAGGGATCCTGACCGTCCCCTTTCTGTTGTAAAATGGTTGATGTCTAAAGAGATCTGGTCAATAAGACCTTGACTAAATTCCTGGCCCTTTCTTCTCCATTTAACTTTGTATATGTGTGTTATTGTGACTATATGGTGATTTACTTTAAAAAGACTTCAGAATAAGTGGTATATACTTTCACCTACACCATTTGGGTGCTTTGTTTGCATGTGAAGTTTATTGCTGTTGTTGTAACCCAGCGAGCACAAAATCGGCTGCCACGGAGGACTTGCCTCTCTCTAACCTGTGGCCCCAAAAGGAGGGTGTCAAGACCTTTTATGCCCGTAAACCACCTCCTGGGCAGGGGTGAGCGCGAGGGGCTTCGGACATTCCGATTGTTACTTAAGTGGTTTACAGAAGTTAAGATAAAGCGTTAGTTTACACATTGTCTGGGCAGGGTGGAAATTACAAACCTTAGTTACTTATTACAAGTCGAAGGGGCCAGGATGGCGTGGGTTTGGACTGCTTGCCTGTCACATTAGGGTTACAGAGAGCAGTTTCAACGGAAAGCCAAGGTATGGTCGAGGTGTGCAGCTTATGGGGCAATTACCATGTCACAGTGTCAACACCCCAGAGATGGCTGGGACAGTTGGTTAGAAAGAGTGAACAGGCCCAGGCCTTGCAAGCCCAGCAGCCCTAGGTCTCCAGAGTCATGCTGGGGTCTGGGTCTGCCAGTTGTGTGATATTCTACTTTAGGGAGACTCAGTCACCTTGCACAACTGTGGGAGCTGGGCCTGCCATTGAAACATTGTGTCGGCCTCCAAGTGACCCTTTCACTAGATGGCAAAGTGAGATTTCTCATTCCCAAAGTATAAGAACCATCATATGGCTGCTTTTGTGTCTCCTGGCTAACAAATGCTTCATGTTTGGCAGCATTTGGTATAGTGCTTGCTTTCAGTATAATCTACCACCAGTTAGTGAGGTTGTAAAAAGGAGAACACACAATCTCCCAAATTCATCAAGAGAACGGACAATTGTTGAATGGCCAAACTAGCTTAGATCCGTTGTGACATTCAGTGTGTCACTTCCTTTCCACTTATCCATCAGGAAATTACTGAACCCTTCCATGCACCTGTCCTGGGAGTTTGTGCTTAATGCAGGCTACTCTCAGGCAGTGGCTGGGATGGGATGGGAGAGAGGATGAAACCGAAGGGTCTTGGAGCCTAACCGCTTCCTCTGTTCTGTGGAGGGAGGGTGACATGATCAAGACTTCTAACGTCTTTGGTGACGGTGGGTGGGGCAGGCAGAGTAGGTGTTTTTGGTTTGATGACAATTCTTGGGCAGGAGCATTTGAGAAGATGATTTGGAAGAAGGGTGGGAAGGAAGAGTGATCAAATTCCACAGAGTTGGGGAGGGCAGGCTTCAGGAAACAAGCCTGAGTACCAAAATACAGTGAGATCTGGTGACTTCTTTCATTTAGCCCTCTAGGTGGTGTTATTCATGTCCAATAGTACCGAATATTCAACACATTTAATAAAGACATCTTTCAAACAGGCTTTGTGTGGGCGACAAGGCTGTTTTATTTCTCGCTTGGGTGCAAGTGGGCCAAATCCAAGAAACGGCAGGCGAAGGGGGTAAGGTTGGGAATTGGTTTTATAGGTTGGGGCAATTTTTTGGGGTGGGGTGGGAGTGTTACAGAGTAAGATCAGTTACAGTGGTGGGGTTAGGGCAAGGAGTGTACACTACATAAGTTCAGTTACAATGGCGGGTGGGGTAAGGCGAAAGAGTAAAAGTTGAGATGGTAGAGTGGGGTGAGGAGTATTCACATTATCGTAAGAACAGTTAAGATGGCAGGGTGGGGTGAGAGGTTCCTTGGGGGAAGCTCCGCTGGGCGGGTGATTAGGGATAATAATGAATGCAGGCAGCGGGTGAGGGATGATTAGCCAGGGCAGGCAGGACTTCAGACTTTCTGGGTCCAGGCTTGCACATGGAGACCTGACAGGTGGAAGGAGGGACAGCAGTGGATTATCAGAAGGGTCTGGTAGTAGTGGTCTAGCCCTTAAGTGTGCCTTCATTTATTCAAACAAGCTTAATGTATTAAGCACTTCTTGTGCCAGGAAGTGTGGTAGGAATCAGTGTGGAGATGCGGCCATGTGCAAAGCCACAGATGCCTGCCTCCAGGAAGCCCACAGCCTAGTGGAGGAGATATATAGTAATTGTCAGGCCTCCATGTGCAAGTCCGGACCAAGAAAGTCTGAAGTCCTACTTGCCTTGGCTGATCATCGCCCAACCCCACTGGGTTCGCCATTATCCCTAATAGCCCAGCGGAGCTTCCCCCAGTTAAGATGGCTCATCCTACCCTGCCATCTTAACTGTTATTATGATAATGTAATAGTCCTCCTCACCCCACCCTACCATCTTAACTACTCTTACCCCACCCGCCATTGAAACTGAACTTACAGTAATGTATAATCCTTGCCCCTACCCCCACCACTGTAACTAATCTTACTCCGTAACTTTCCACTGCCCACCCCAAACCTATAAAACCAATTCCTATCCCACTGCCCTTCGCTAACGCCCTTTTCGGCCTCAGCCTACCTGTACTCAGGTAAATAAACAGCCATGTTGCTCACACAAAGTCTGTTTTGGGGGAAGGGGGGTATCTTCATTCAAAGTACGTGTTTAAACAGTAATCAAACAATCTTACAACTTTTTGTAAAATGCCCATAGCAGATGTTCTGAGGAGAGGCTTTAGAAACTGTGAACATAGAACAGGGGAAGCAATGAGGGTTTCCATAGGGTTTTTCACTCTTTAGGCACCAGGTCCCCCACACAGTGAATCATCGCTTGGAAAACGCCAGGCCTGGGGTCTTGGAAGCCCCTGCACCGCTCGCGGGTCCTGGCCCCGGCCCCGCCGTGTGGGGGCGCTGCCTCCTCCCGGGCGGCGGGGGGCGCTGCGGCCCGGCGGCGGGGGGCGCTGCCTCCTCCGGGACGGCGGGGGGCGCTGCGGGCCGGGCGGCGGGGGTGGCCCGGGCCGGCGTGGCGAGCCGCGCGGCGGATGGAGAGTCTGGCCGCGGCCGGCGGCGCCGCCTCCTCGTCGGGCCGGGCACGGCGGGCCAGGGCCTTTGTGTGAGGCGGCGGCGGCGATGGTGCTCGGGGCCCCGCGGAGCCGGGTAAGCGCGGCCGGGCAGAGGGCTGCCCCTGGCCGAGGCCCGACCCCCGGCTCGGCATTTCTCTTGCTCTTGCTGGGGTCCCTCCTGCTATCTCCCCTCGGCCGGCCCCATCCTCCCTGCCCACGCGTCGACCCCGGCCGGCCCCGCCGTCCCTTCCTTGGCCCCATATTCAGCCCCGTGACCCCTCCGGGTGAGCCCCCACGCTGTTTGTGGAAGGACCGAGGCGCGCGGTGCCCCCCA